TAACGAGTCTTCGATTATAACGCATAAACCGGGTGGTAATCTGTTGGCTGCACGATATCGCGTGTTACAGGAATATAACACAAAAGCGAAGAATTAAACGAACAATAAACAAAGAAGACGCTCAAATAAATCTCTATTAATATATAAATTGTAGTTAAATATTCAGTCAAATTTACATTAATTTCATTAATAATTTATTATTCGCATAATATCGCACCGACCGCTGATCGGAGGGCAGATATACGTATATATATGTATATGTATATATGTACATGTGTGTACGTGCACGTACATATGTGTAAGTGTGTACATTCGTGCGCGCGGTGTAATGCATGAGCGTGCACGAGTACGTCTCACACACACACACACGCACATACATAAATATATATGTATATATATATATATTTATATATATTTATATATAGATATATATTCGCAATTATATTTGGCCATTTTTTTACAGTAGTCTCACAAATTCGTTTCCTCAAATAACTCTACTAATTTAAATATTATCAATATCAGTCCTTTCTCGTCCTGACCACTATAAAATTGTGTTCGTTATTCTCGTAATTTAAAGCTTCGTTCTTCTTCCTCATCCACTCTCCGTTCTCCCTCGATTTAACAATCCTTTTGCTTTTTTTTTTGTTTCTCTCTCTCTTCAGCGCAATCTTCTCTCCTTATTTAAATTACCTGCGCTAATGTATTCCGCGTCGCACGTAATTTCGCATGCCCGTCGAAATGTGTCCGACACTACGAGACGGGTCCCCCGGACGCTTCTATAATTTCCCGCGATATATGTACACGATTTATTGCCCCGAGTATAAAAGAAAAATCTAGTCTCCTTTCGAACCGCGTGATCCATCCGTCGTTAATATTACGAAAAAGATCTACATACAATGAGAAACGTATAATCGATAATTTTCTGTTTTCTTCTTTTTTTTGGTCTTTTTATCCGACTCGCGGAAAGTTTTTCAATCGACAAGTCAATACCACCCTGCGCATGTATATTTACTATAATAACAATTGACTAACCGATCCCCAAAATACGCTCGCTCTGAATGCGCTTTGTGAAAGATATATACTTATTAATCCGGATTATAATGCGAGAGGCGGAAAATACGTGCGGCGCAACGAGATGCATTCCATAAAACGTAGTTTAACATAAATTATCATAGCCTATCTATAAATGCATTCAACGTGCGTGTACACCTGCGTTCAGAGATTGCCTATACGAGCCGAAGTGTGAACACACCGATATGCGAGTTCGTGCACGCGCGTAACATCAGTTCGTCACCCCCGAGTTTCGAATTCGCGCGGGTATTCGGATTTGTGCACTTTTCGGAAAAAGAAATAAAAATAAAATATATATGTACGGGCGCGTATGCACGCGTCTGCACGCGCCGCCGCACGCGTTGCTTTCCTGCCGATCCACTTTTTGTCGGAGTTACGGATTCGTGTGCGATCGGCGAGAGGACTCGAAAGGTCTGCGGGGGAGCGGGGCGCGTAAATCGGTCGGGGGACACGTGCGTGGCGATAGAGAAAACTATCCGATTTCTCCTTCCAATCAGCCTCGATAAAGGAAACGCGCGATACAAAGTAAGAAATTATTTATACACTTTATACGGCAGCTAAAAAGTACGCTCGTCAGAAAACGCCCATTCGACTCGATTTGACCGCGCGAATTGAAACCTTGTGCAGGTACGATGCGTATACCCGAGTCTTATCTATATGATTCTGCACGAGTTTCGGTCACTCGCGATTCGCGCTGTCACGCAGGCCCTTCGGTCCTATCGCGATCGCCGGATAGCTTCAGCCTTAATGCAGTCTTGCTCCAGGTCTCCTCCTCTACAATCGCCATCTAAATTTATTATACATAGCTTCGCTGGTGTCCCCCCCCCCCCGCCTCTCCCCCCGCGCAGGTCTCACGCGTCCGATACACTCCGCAATTACACTTCCGCCCAGCACGATGATTTGACCCTATATCGATTCTCAGCCCTACCCGACCTCTTCCGCTTGCAGTATTTCGAATGCGTATCAGGAAACCTATTTTCATTAACGGAAATAACAACGGGCGCCGCAGTCACGCCTCGCTGCTGTAAGTCAGCTTCGCTTTAACTTGTGTACACCGGTTCAAGAAAGTCTTCGTCTTTAAATGCAACTCGACCTCATTTGCGAACGGCCATTCGCGAAACACTCCGTATTTCCGAGCATGAAGCATCGGCCCTCAAGTCGCATCGCACACAATTTTTCGCCGAAGTGAAAACTCCGAGTGTACTGCTAATCGACGGGTATATATCGATGGATAATCGTGCCGATGTCACATCTCGCCCTAAGTCTCGCACGTCGGCATTATATATATATATATATGATGATGGTGGACTCACATTCGCTCGCAATTGTGCTCTCGACATCTCTCTCATCGTGTCCCAACTCGCGTACACATTCGCGCTCGCGTAACGCGACTCCCCCGGTCCTCAAGAAAAATAAATGATTATCTCTCGTTATCTTAACCGAGCCCACACGACGATTGTGCTTTAGGCCGATGCGCGTGCATCCGTCAGCTCTGTTTTTCACCCGCTATAGCGATTTATCTATCGCGATGTAGCTGTTCGCGCGTGATGCAAAACGGTGATGTCCCAGTCATCGTGTAAGTTTTTTTGCTCCTCCTACCAGGCGCGAATCGTCGAGGTTTCTACTAAAATATAGCGGTTCACGGTTACAAGTATATGCGGTGACAAGTATATGTATTATACGTATACGTATATGGCTGCCTATTTGTGAATCAGTTAGAATGTGAGTGATCCTATCGGTTCCGGGCAATAAGACAAAGTGTCCAAAAGACGTTCCAGAATTTCGCGAATCTTCTTCAGCTGCGCACTCACTGCACCGAAACGTTTTCTGGACCTTCGTATTATTCTGGAAGTAACAGCACGCGTGTATCATTCACCATCCTTCCCGTCCATTTGCTCTCGAACTGACCAAGTCGTATTACCATTATAAAAGCCACGGAAAGAAAAACGCGCGTCGCGACTGTACGTCGAGGGGTTCGATCGATGGAGGGACGCTCCGAAGCGCCATAGAACGCGAAATGGACGGGCAGGAACGTGTAGAATGAGATATTCCGGCCGGATACCACGAAAGTGGAGTAATCTGTGTGTCCATGGAATATATTATAAAGCGGAGCCCCTATCGAGTATGCCGCGAAACGGAAACCGGAAACCGTGTAACACAACGATACAGTAAGGAGCAAGAATAGTAATAATACCAATAATAATATTAATAACAATATTAACAGCAATACTAATAATCGATATAGTAATGATAATAATTGCAATATACAATATGAGTAATAATAATAATAATAATTAATAATAATAACAAAGTAAGGTACTTTATGTAAAATTCGTTAGGTATCGTATAAAAACGAATGTAAGTCTATATAGAATAGCCCGCTAAAGCATTTAATATGGAATGAATATATTAGGGTAAAATATATATGTATATGCGTATATATGTGTATTGTATATATTAAACCATTGCATCTCTCACTTTTTTCCCCCGATTTAAGCGACGACGAAAAATGACGATATAAGAATATTTCTCGCAAACCTATATAGGCTAACTCGCGTGCGCGCGCGCGATTCCTTTCCCTTCTGCCTTCGAAAAAAATTCTATCGCGCTCTCTTCAAACCGTGTAAATCGGGCAATATTTAATATCGAATTCAACTTTCGAATGATGTTGCCTATACGAGGCCCGCGGGGCCTTCGATTGCAGTCTTATCAAAATTTATTTTTGGACGCGTCTACCTATACTTAACTTGGACGATCGTGTCTCCGACACTAAAAAGCCTTTCTCATCGAATATAATAGTATATCCCACATATTCTCGCGTAATATCGATCTAACTAATAAAGCTTAAATTAAATTCGCGTTTTCATAGCCAATAAGCGCTCTTGACACGGTTTCGACAAACTGTTTTCACCTCGCGCGTCGCCCCGTATCGCGAAGCAATGCCGAAGCTCCAGCCAAAGTGCGTCTACAATTAAATCCCGCACCAACGATTTCCGAGACTGCCAGCGGCCTATATAATCACGGCGAGTTTCGAACCTCGATGTCACAGAACACAGAAGTTCCGTGTTTTCTACGCGAAAAAAAAAAAAAAGAAAATCACGGTAATCGACGCGAGTCACGATAATCGTTTGTATATCTACTGTGTACCGTCGGAAATTGTACTCCACGAGATTATACACCGACGTCAATCTCCGAAATGATATTAAAATCGGCATTCGCGTGTATCCAGTCTATTGTACGACCTGTCGTGCGACCGATCATTTGTATATTTCTAGCGGTATTAACGAAAATTTAAAAGAAGAAAACAAGAGAAAAACATATGAGAAGCGTACACGCTAGAAAAATAAGTACAAGTAATTATGAAATTAAGATTACTTTTCTCTCTATTTTAATCCATTGGCACTGGGTCCCGTAAACCATAACGCCAGTGTATGTGATTATCTATTTGTGTGTGTGTGTGTGTGTGTGTGTGTCTGTGTGTGTGTGTGTGTGTGCGACTCTTACGTGCAAAATCTAAGTAATCGCTTCCGTGAATTACGTGCGATAGGTGCGAATAAACGATTTGTTTTTGCTAAATAACACACGCCTCGAGGATTACGCGTCGATTAGAATCAACTCGAAAATCAACTCGGGGAAAACCGGCCCTAATTTCAATTACCTTGATTGCACTCCCGCGTTCAGTCTCATTCTTTTTCATCACAACTTTGTCAACTAATTAGATCCTAAAACTTCATTGAAAAGTTCGGGAGCGCGACATCAAAGTTAATATCACCGTCTCGTCATAATATCCAATTATGAAATAAAAAAAAATGGGAATATACATACATACATATATTATATATTTATATATATATATATATAAAATAACGGCGCGAGATCCAGAATTCTCTCTCTACCGATTCCCAGCTCGCGTATGATAACGATATTCCACCACGTACACTCGCCCATCTGGAAGCACTGATTTCCGCGCGCGAACCCGACGACGTGTTTCCCTACTACTTTTTTTTTACAAAAATTGTTTGCCGTGCGGCTGAGACACACGAGGAAGATTTTTCAAGGACACACGCACAAACATCGTGAACACAATGGCGACATTCGACGCAAATTCCTATTGTCTCTCGAAGAATGACCGAGTTGTTTTCCGATAATTCGCGTCTTCCTCGAATGATCGAGTGGCTCAAAAGAATCCCACAGATCCCCAACATCCCATGGTCCCAAATGTCAAACCCATTATATGATACCGATGTACAATCGACAGGCGATAATAACGTAACAATTGCGTTTCGAGTCTCGTACAAAAAACGTCCGGCGGGGTCCGTTACCGGTCGAAGGTCCGTATCAATTTTCGCCGTGTATTTATCGCTTAAAATGTCTGTCTGATTCTCATCTCGACTCTACATACGTGTATATACCTTCGTATTGACCCCTCATAAGCATGGATTGGCAAATTGCCACGAATCATTTCGATGATTATATGTACCCGCAGCTTTCTTGGCGCTCTCCGACAATTCTAATAATCGTAACCGAGAAGAAAAGTATCACGGCGAAGTACATCAATTCGAAACCATGGGCGAACAACAATATAAATATTCACGAAGGATCACGCATTTTGTTAGACTAAACAAGTAAAATCAGACGGCTGTACGACGCATCCAATGCATTAGATACGCGCGATAATGAATAGTGGATCGATGAATCGAGTAACGGGCTGAAATCACTTCGTCTTTCTCAACGTTCGACGTTGTTTTTCTTTTCTTTTTTTTGTTTGTTCCTTTCTTTTTGGCTAGACAGCAAGAATTCGAGAAGAGAACGACGCGATTCTCTCTGGATGGCCCAACGCTGTCGACGACCCGGTCGATCGCACCGGCCGTCGCGAATAACGCGGAACTTTTCGTGTATTTTTTTTTCTTTTTTATTTTTTTTTAGCGTCTATTAAGCTCGTTTCGTGATGTCTCTTGGCACGTAAGACACGCGCGTGCGCAATCACTTCTATTTCTGCCTACGATGGTAGATGCTCTTGTGATTGTTCAGGCTGTTGAGCGTCCTGAACACCTTGTGGCAGAGCGCGCAGACCGCGCTGTTCAGGGGCTGAAAGTGCTGCTGCTCTTTGTGCCGCTTTAGGGTGAGCTTCGTGGAGAGTGTCTTGCCGCACACGTCGCACGTGTAGCAAATCCCTGGTGGCAGCAGGCTACCGTGTAACGGGTGCGACAGTCGCATCGCGAGAATCGCCGAGGGCGGACCTGAGATCCGCGCGATCGCATAGACACATGATTGATTATTTTTATTTTTTATTTTTTATTTTTTTTTAGATTTGGATCGTGAGAGATATTTTTTTCCGTTTGGATGGAAATGCCATCGAGAAATGCAAACGTAAAGAGAAAGTGAGACAGCGGCGATACACAGTTGACGAGTTTTTTTTTTTTTATATATAAAGCGGTATAGGCAAGCAAAGCGAGACAGGGCGAAGTTACATGTGTGAGTTGATAAATACAGCAGATAGAAAACAAAAAGTGGAGGCGGCGCACAAGTCGATAAATTATATGATGAAAAGTAGATTTTAAATGTGCGTACATAAAGAAACAAAAAAAAAATAGAGATAAAATGCATACAAGTAGATAAAAACATAGATGTAAAATAGAGATATAGAAAGATACATAAATGCAGATATGAAAACGAGCGTAAAAGAGGAAGAAAACGTATGAAAAGAGATTAAAAATAAAAAAAAGATAGAGAGAGAGAGAGAGAGAAAAAAAATGAAATCAAGTACCATAGTCCGTTACATATGCATCGACACCCAATTAAAAAGAAATATTTCCATTACGAACCAATATTTGTGGTGTAGGAGGCACACGGAGAGCCACGTGTGTGGATGGACCCCCAGCGCAAGTCCGTGTTCGTGAAGGTAGCGGGTAGGTACACACAGAACAATGACGAACCAGAGCCAAACGTATAGCCGAGCGAGCGGGACCGGGAACAAACAAGAACAAAGATACGACTGCTATTAATATCACTGGACAAGATTAGTTACGATACGCTGCTAAGTATTCTTGCATGATTAGGGCTAGAGAGAGATAGGGTGATATTGCCGAGGTGTTAAAAAGGGCCAAATCGTGAGGTTCTCGCTGACAGTCAAATTACAGGCAGATCGGTTCGGTTGAAGGAGAAACGGAAGAGGGGGGGGGAGGAAGACAAGGAGTTCAAGATGAAGTTCAAGGAAGAACGGGTTTGAGGATTAAAATCGATCTCGAGAAAGAGACAGAGAAAGAAAGAGAGAGAGAGAGCAAATCGGCAGTGGGTATCAAAGGGGAAGTTGCTACTAGAATATCCGCCGGATACTCTTACTGACAGCCTGTTGAAATGTCCCTGCGAGCCACGTACGTCGCTCGAGTAACTTCGTTTCTGCTGGCATCTTAGTCGCAGAGAGATATAAATGTGGCTCGGAGCTCTGGTTTGTCATTGGTCATGCATAAATAAGCGCGATGATCGTAGACCGCCGGAAGAAACGACAGTGCGATTTTCGCGGATATATCTCGTACCGTAAAAAAGAAAAGAGAGAAGGAGAGAGAGAGAGAGAGAGAGAAAAAGAGAAAGAGAGACGAGAGAGAGAGAGAAACCTTGATTGCGTTTCGGAAGTTACGTGCGTTACTTTGCAATCGACATTTTCGCCTGTTTCACATTCTCCCTCGTGGCAGCGACTTACGTATTTCTGATTTACGAAAACGCTATATGTACGCAACGTCAAACGCTACGAAGATTTCGTTCTTCGTGATAACAAAAGGCCCGAGAGAGTGAAAATCCAAGACGATCGTCATTACCGTTTTTTTTTTTTGCTATCATCGTAAAATGAAGTGAGGATTGTTACAAACGACTCGAGTTTCACAGTCAATGTAATTCAACATTTGTCTCTTGCTTTGTAACTCCGACAAAAATCGTGATCGAGTACTGATCGCTTAGAGCTAACCACGATGAAATCCAGACATGATTGATAAGGCGATAAATTATACTTCGATGCGTATTTATCGTGATTTATGAACATCTGATGAGACGGAATACCGAATGGAACGGAAACGATGCCCGAAATGAGAGAAAAAAAAAAGATATTCCAAGCGAGCTTAACAAGCAACGAAATGTTCCGCACATACCTTTCTCCGAGCTGTAAAAGTAAACGTGCCACTTTCTTCCGGGATATTAACTGACTTTCGATGGAAAAGGAGTAGTATCTGTGGTTGTCAACAGTAGTAGAGGCGATGACGGCGGTAACGGTAACTAATATGTGTGTATATATATAATATAATATATATATATGTATATATATATAAAATAATAGTAACGGTCACAGTAGAAAGTGTAATATAGTATAGGCAATAGTAGCAGGAGTGACAATAGCAGCAGCAACAATAATATGAAAAACTTGCCGATAGAGAAAAATGTTAATGGCGATAACAATCACTACACACATCAAATAGAAAAAGATATAATGACAACATCGGAGATAAAAATATGTGATTTTTCGTTTATAATTAAGAGAGAAGGGTTGATATATTTCTGAAATGTACGTGCCTTCCCCTCCCAAAAAATGCGACGAATAAGCGAAAGTACTTTAATGTTCATACAAACGCGCGCGCGCGCGCGCACGCACGCACGCACGCGTGCACGTATGTTTTGTGTCGATAAATGTACCGTTTTATTTTTAGCGATTATAATCTTTTAATGCTCGTCTTGTTTACTTGCGAACAACTTCGATAATTTCTTTTTCCCCAACATTTTTTTTCAATGATGTTTCTTAAACGCGAGCGTACGATCGATCTAAAATAATAAGAACACATCGGCTTCGTCAAAACTGTAATTAATAAAAATACAGAAACACTGTGTAAATGCTGATACATGTGCATGCACAAAGTAAAGCGTCGAAACGTGGAGCAATCTGAAAAAACTCTGTCAAATAACAATATACTTATAATTTACAGCTGCTTCTTTCACTTTAAAATATCGACGTTAATTCGCTTTTACGCTACATACAGATTTAAATCATTCTAAGGTAAAATTAATTTTTAATAAGTAAAATCTGTTCAAATGCAATGTTCAAACGCAAACATAATTTTCGAAAAATCAATGAAGCTTCTATAATTATATTTATATTACCATTTCCGATTCAATAAATTATAGAAATTCAAAATTAAAATGACGGAAAAATATAGAAATATTAATTTCCCGTGTGAATATCGCGGAAGACTTATCAATTCTGCAAATGACGCTAAAATAAATTGATAGAATCTGTAACGCGTGTGCCGTAACGCATATACGTATATCTCAATGTATATCCCTGAAAATGAAATCTTATTGCTAAATCACAGCAAAGAAACTTTGTCGTGGATGGGACACGAAGGAGAAGACAAAGGCTATTATATCAGGAAAGAAGGAAAATTAAAAGGAAAATGGAGGGAAAAGGAACGACTATTTTATCCAACTATAAATTGTTTCTAAAGGAATGTGTGGAAAGCGTATAATATATATATTACGAATAAATTAGATATATTAAATATTTTATTATCCCGTTTTTGTACCGCACCTTTCTTTATATCGCCACGTAGGACGATAAACAGAAAACAGAATTTGTCTGCAATTATCTCGTGTGTGCTCGTCACATAAATAATATATAAAAATAACAACAAATCGCGTGGCCCTTGTCGAAAATCGAAGGAGTTATGCCTATCACATAAGTAATCGCTTCAGATTCTAACACGCGGACTTCACGGTCCGATCCTTCGCTGATTTCGCAACGCTATGTACAAATGATATCTTAGTTTTTTTTTTTCATAAAAAATATCAATGCAGCTTTTGCGCGCGTTTGTCGCTCATTTGCTCGAAACGACACCTCCCTGAATCACCTTTCCGACTACGCATTTTATTTTCAAGGTGTCGCTCATTCGACTTGCTCATTTCACGCCAACGTCAATAAACGTGGATGCATCGTGCTCAACAGACGACTACTTTTTGCGAGTCACTCTACGATTGTTGCGAGTACATCCCTCGGACATGGAAAAGTATCCGGCATATACGTTTGCATTAGAAACCCGATTGGAAATCCGCTTTGTCGACGCGCTACGATTCAAGTGATTCAACTCATTCGTGATTCCTCCACGCCACACGCTGTAAGTCATTGACGTTATACTAGATCACATTAAGTCGCAAAAACAATCGTACGATCAATCGACTCTCTTTTTCGCACTTTGCACTGCCTGTCTTCTCGTCACTCTCGTCCATGTTCAAATAACGGTATAACGAACAGAGAACCGCAAATTCTAACGTTTCGAATCCGTCGACCTATACATACATATCCCCCATGTACGGTGAGAAATTACATATTTCAATCCGTCCGGCAATTCCATAACTTCGGATCGCGTCGGAACTTAATCCGTAATCGATAACGGCAACATACGCCTGTGTCGCGTGAACATCCGGTACACTCTCGTCACCAGAAAATTCATGGCAGAGGGAGAGAGAGAGAAAGCATGGGGAGCAAACGGCGAGCAATCTCATCCCATTCGCGGATGTTGTTGGGCCTGGTGTTGCTGTTGCTGCTGTTGCTGTTGCTGTTGTTGCTGCTGCTGCGCAGAGTAATTTCTGTCGGTGTGCTCTCTCTGGTCTCTCTGCCATTCGCGGACCTGCGCTACTTCCTTTCTCTGCTGCTCGCTTTTGTTGTGCTGTCGATGGTAGATGCTCTTGTGGTTGCGCAGACTGTTTAGACTGGAGTAAACCCGCTTGCAGATGTTACAGATCGGTTCCTTGCTGGGCCTGGTGTGCACGTTCTGTATGTGCCGCTTCAACCGCGTTAGGGAGGTCAGGTTTTTGTTGCACGGCTCGCATCGAAACTCATCGCTCGCGCCGCTGCCGGCCAACAGACCTGGCGGCAGAACCAGACACACAGGGGTTACTACTTTTGTAGGGGTTTTTGGCGCACGGAACGTCGCACGGACGTCGGACAGGTGGACAAGTAGACATTAGACTGGGGCAAGGAAGGATTGAAATAGAGATAGAGATAGATAGATAGAGAGAGAGAGAGAGAGAGAGAAAGAGAGAGAGAGAGAGAGAGAGAGAGAAAGAAAGAGAGAGACAGAGAGAGAGAAAGAGAGAGAAAGAGAGGACATCATCCCCAATGTGCTTCTTTACTTTGTCCTTTCTTTCTTTTCTTTTTTTGGGGGGAGAGGAGAGGTTTTTTTCTAGTCGCGGCCTCGTCTCTCTGATCGCACACCACCAGTTCACGCTCCTACACCACCGTCACATTTAAGAATCACACCACCACAGTTTTCGCAGCTGAGAAAATATCGTGCGTCCGTGTGCTCTCTTTTTTTTTGCCTCTTAGTACTTTATTTTGCGCCTTTATTAATCGAGCATACGTCGTACCACCGTCACCCGACAAGCCGTGCCCAAACTCGTTTACGTGTTATTTCTTAAAACCACCTTAAGAGTTATGTGTGCTTTATGGGTGCTGCTACACCACCGTTGCTGCTTGCGCCTCATTGCGTGACGTAACGATTATCACGAGGGGAACGCCTTCGAACCGCACACCGGATGCAACCATTGTCACCGTATACCTTCGTTCTTTCTCCTTCTTTATTTTTTCTTTTTTTTTTTTTTGAGATTTTCGTACGATCAACTTCTAAAACCGACTACACCATAGTTGCCATAGTCGTTATAATCCCTTTATCGCAACCATTATCCAAAGTCACATCGCCAAAGTCACAGTCATTGTCAACCTCGTCATAGGTGTCAGTGTCATGTTATTGCTGTCATTGCCTCGATCTCACTCTTAATTCCCGTGCCGCTTGGTCGTCATCGTTAATTGTAATTGCTAACGTCATCATCGTGATTATCCTCCTTCGTTTTTCACTCCGATCCGTTTTATTTTGTCTCACCTCCAAACGTGTCATCGATCTTGCCATTTTCTATATAGTTTCGATGTCCATTATCGTCATGATCGTTATCTCCTCACTCTCAACCTCATCAATATCAACATTATTACCATCGTTACAGTAAATATTTTATTCCACTATTAGTCCGATCATTATCATTTGTAATGCGGTATAATAAACAGTTTACAATCATCATTATGACGAGAGTACCGTCATCGTCTTTGTCTCTGTCGTCAATATTCTCCAGCATTATAATTATCGCGTTCGTCATTCCTGTCTCGATTATCCGCCGTCGTTTTCGTTTATGCATTTGCATGCTCTGCTACAGGCTGTATCTTGATTTCTCTTTTCACGTGATTGATTTCATTAGGCTCATGTATATGGAAACTTTACGTGACTGAGATCTTTAAAATGTTGTAAAATAAAAAATGAACTCATTTATGTAAAATAACATTATACTAACTTTTATAGAGCATTTATTGTTATTATTAAATAATGTATTAAGTAAGAAATAATAATTTTACGTAGAAACTGCATCAAAAGTGCTTAGACATCAATGGAGAAGCTAATAATAATAGTCAATTGATAAAATCTCAAAATTTCAGTGATATTTTCAGAAATTAGAACGATACGAAATGTTATATTATTGTAATATCTCAATTTATACGCTTTAGTTTCGTATAAACATAGTTCCGATGATTTTATTCAAACGTATATAGTCAAGTTAGCTATACTTTATATAATCGCGTAACAATCGAATTAAATCTTTACGAAAGACTATCAAAATGTACGTATTACGATCGATTGAATACGATGACAATGGTGATAATCGCGATGCTTTATTCTGAAAGGCTTCTCTAACGAGATTCGTTTTGCAGCACCACTCAGCTCGTCATACGACGTTTACTTCTTTCGAACGTAATTAGGATAACACAGTGCAAGCAGTTCTAAAGTTCCAGCAAACGATCGTGAGCGATGAAGTTAGTGTTTCATGATCACCAGATATATATATGTGCATATATATATATTCATGTCGATGCATATTATTTACAGCAAAATAGAGCGTAATATCTTATATATATATGTATATATAGGTATATATGTACATGTACGCGTGTGAATATGCGCGGGAGAGTGGAAATATGTGCGAGCTGTGTACACAAATGCGATATCTGTTTCTAATGAGGTGATGCGAATGAAGCGTGGTAATGTATTCTATATTCCATGATTAATGGCATTTTCGTAGCCTTGAGCGAAAGAGCTACCAACAGAAGTTCTTTCTTCTCGCGCGATATTTAGGCCGTGAGAGATAGCGCTCGCTCATTAGAAACAACATTTTATTCGTTATTTCGTTTTCTTTTTCTTTTCTTTTTTTTTTAATTATCTCCTTTTATTTCCCTGCCGTCGCTAAGTTGCGACAGCTCATATGTACTGCATTGTACGTTATAGCGCAGTATATATAGATCGAGTCTTATACAATCTAATTATAATCTCACGGATACAGGAACAATGCGAATATTTATTCATAGCTCAAAACGAACGCAGCTATAACATTTTGCCGTTTGCGTAACCTGAGTTTCGCCCCTCGCGAAAAACGTAACATTTTGTAATCTCTTTGTATGCAACTAATGAAACGTCGCAGATTGCACAATATTCAACACAACATCAAGTAACATTCGATTAATAAACAATTTCATCTGTCAAGCAGTCAACCAGCATTTTTATAACGATCTCGGTTTTTACGTCGAGGAATATCGAGGAATAGATAACAGCAAAACAATTCGAACTCTTTTCCCAGTAAAATCTCATTGGACAAACGTCGACTATAGAGATATTGTTTTGTGAGCGCGTTAGCGAGCGTAGATCCAGAAGACGAAATAAATAGGAAAATTAGGAATTGACGATGCAGCTCGATATAATTTTAACGAGCCCGATTTTGATATTGCAAGCCCGAAATAAACGTATCTGACACACTTTCGTTACCGAAAACCAAACGAAACATGATAGTACAAATAAGCGTAGAGATCGTTTCCGCGCGCATCGAAATTCAAACTCTACAAAATCACATTGATTCAGTTCATTCGGCTCTCTCTCTCTCTCTCTCTCTCTAAATGCATTCTATATTAAATCAATAACTATACTCTAACTACGCGCTGTATATATAACATTGCGTTTCCGGAATACCTATACGGATAAGGAATCATTACTGTTTGTTTTTTTTTCTCTCTCTCTTTGGTCTCAACCGAGGTAATCTGCCGGAGGAATAAACGACTAGCAGCATTCCGCTCCAATACTGTTGTGATATAATTACAATACATCAGCGGTATAGTATAACATCCTACAAGTGGAACACATTTATACAAACCGGGTAATGTCTTGTATTGACAGTCGGGTAGACTACAATCTATCTCTCTCACTTTGCAGAAATCTCCAAGGTCTCTGCCGTCGTATGCGTGCACTCTCTGCACACACACACACATACACAGACACACACATACGCACACACATACACCACACGAACACACATGCACACACACACACATACACACACACGCGACAATTGTATTCTTGGTTCTTTTATACGTCGTGCTTTACGACATACGACGGAGGAGAAGCTCGTCCTAGATCGGTAGCGCCGGTCAATACGTGACTTCGCACTGCGCCTCGTGCTCCTTGCGATCCTTGCGAGCGTGATACTGGCTCTTGTGACTGACCAGACTGTTCCTGGACTTGTAGCTCCTGCCGCATTGGTCGCAAGACAGGGATTGCGGCACGTAGAAGTGCGTGTCGGCCAGATGCCTCTGCAGGGACCATGCGCGCGAGAAGGTCTTCTGGCAGAAGTTGCAGTAAGTGCGATTCGAGGATTTATGATCCGGTTCGTGATACGCGGCGCGCGACGACGCGTCTACGTGCTTCGACTGCACGAAGCCGTTTCGCGAGCGTAGCCATCGCAGATCGAACGCAGGCGACGGCGACGCGTCGTTGTTCGACGATCTTCCGGACGTTTGCGGCTGCTGTTTATCTCGTAGGTCATCGTGACGGTACTCGTGCGTCGAATCGAGATCCGCATGCCTCTCGATCGCGTGATTCGACAGCAGGCAGGACTCGAGCTCGTCCATCCTCGGCGAGATCGGCTCCGATTTCAGGACTATCTCCATCTGATCGTTAATGTTGTCTAAGAGATCGATTATCGGCAGCTCTTGGTGCTGCGGCTGCACCATCGTCTCGCCGTATCGATTTGCGCTTGTATTTTGGTTCGATTCCCGTACTTTTCGTTGGTACTCGATGTTGCTTGCGGACTGCCAACCCCCGTCCTCCTCGGCGACCTCCTGGTCTGCAACCAAAGAGGAGGGGGCTGAGTCCACAACCGGATTCACGCGACATCATTTAAGTACCATAACGAGCAACTTTCAGTACGAATATATTTATTCTTTTTCTCTCTCTCTCTCTCTCTCTCTCCCCCTCTCTCGCTTTCTCTCCCACTCACACATTCTTTCTCTCTATCTCTATATGTAATGTATGTATACGTAATATGGGCGACTTCTGAAAACTGATTCTCGACAGGAGCGAATTCAAACGCTTTTACTAAAACGGGTAATGTCCAACGGTCGTATTCTTAGCGCAAAGTCGACGAGCAAATGAGAGCGACGTCTTGTCGTAAGCGTTACGAGACAGCGAGAGTCGGTAAAGCTTAACCGCGATTGCGACTTGAGAAAGACCCAAACTAGATCTGTTCTCGAATTTGCATACGGTCTATTCAATCTATCCAATTTACTCTTTATGTTATTTAAAATTAGAATCCTATTTATAACGTAGCGGAAAAGAAAATGTCATTAGAAACATGTCACATCGTAAATTTATAATTCTGCTCTTGACGGCGGAAATGATGGAGTTAAAAGACTAGACAAGGAAAAAGCAGATATAGATAATTATATAAAGCAAATCCAACGCAATACAACGGCGCGATTGTAAAAAAACGGATAAACGCGTCGTTGAATTGACTTGCGTGCGTGCCATCGCGCCCGCGGGCGGGGCGCTTTTACTCTCGTCCATTTTTATTTTTATTTTTTTATCATGAACAGAGTATTAAATACAGTAGTTCCAAACAGATGATCTTTCCTTCCGCTATGCAGGAGTAAACGTTTCGAGTCAAATTCAAGTTTCACTAATTCGCACACATTCGAATGCGATCGATCTACCAAGAAAGCGGATCTCGTTACGAGCTGTAACGATCGTAACGATCGTGCATTAACATCGAGCTCAGGTCTGAGTCGAGAGACGACGCGCCGTCGGCACCGTTTGACACCGTAACGGTTCATCGGAGGGCGGGAGGGGGGGGGGGGACGAACCGTTGTCGGTCGGATGACAACGATCGTCGTCGACAGGAGCAGCACACGGCCCGAGTTCGCGGACGCGCTTCTTTGCGGGATTTTACCCAGCCGGTTACCCGTGGCAACGCTACCCCACATCGCATCCTCCGCTCTTCTCTACTTCGCCCTTCCTCTTCGTGTTTCGCGCCCCTCGTGATCCTGCCGCCGCCGCTGCCGTCGCCACCGCCGCCGCAGCCGCGCGCGCGCCTCCCGGACCCCCGCGTTCACCCCGAAGCGCGTTCCCCCCCACGCGATACAACCGAGAGAAGAAGATATATACCTACGTAGGATGTGTATTATTCTTAATAACCCCCTGTATGCCGTTACGCTGTATTATGACTGATGTTGACTCTAAGCGCGGAGAGCGAGAGACAGAAAGAGAGAGAGAGAGAAAAAGAGAGCGGAGGGGCTTCTCGATCGATAGGCTCCGCTTCGCTTCAGGTGAAACGAGTTTCAGGACGCGGAACGTCGTGGAACATCGGAGGAGGAAATTTTACAACGCGCGATTGAGAATTTTAGATTAGCTCCGCGCCGCGTGCCGTCGAATATTTAGCAATTTACATAAACGCGGCGTTAACAGTCGCCCCGAGTACGATCGGATAACGATGCAGCAGCAGCGGATATATAGATTCGATCTGAATCGCCATCCCGAGCGATCGCCGCTCCGTTCCGCATTTAAACGATACGTGACGTAAGACGTAATTCTTTTCTCCGACCGTAACTGCGTGTAACTACATGTACGTATTCGAAAAAGAGAACGCGTATATACTTAAACACGTATATGTATAGAACACGCTCTTCCTTCTCTCTCTCTCTCTCTCTCTCTCTCTCTCTCTCTCTCTTTCTCTCTCTGTCTTTTTCTTTCGTCGTCTCTGCGCATAAAACGCGCGTTCAGGAATATCATAAAAACCGAGAGGTAACCCGTTTTCTCGCGCTCTGCACAATATCCGTACCCCCAGCGACGGAAAGGAATGGGCGTTCCGCAATAGGTAAGCATTATGCCGATAGACAAGGCAACCCCCTTTTCTCTATACGCTCGCCGAGGAAATACGGAGGAAGGAGGATGCCGGGCTGTGCGGAGTGTGTACGCGCACGGCTGCGGCCGCGCGTTATTCTCTAGCCAAACTCGTTCGGACAACGGGAAGAGAAAGAGAGAGAGAGAGAGAGAGAGAAAGAGAGAGAATGTTTTACGACGCGCAAGAGACATCTCACAAAGCGACTCGAGAAGTTTTCTCATGTAGATTGTGCATCGCTATTCTTAGCGAGGAGCGCTCGTTGGCTTCTCTAACAGGCGCAAACAGCGGCTCGCGATATAAGCCAGTTGCACTTCTTGCTCTCTCCGCCTCTCTCCGCGCTAATCTCCACCAGATTATTCGGAGAAGAGAAAGAGAGACGGGGAGAGATTTCGAAAAGTATGAAAGGCGATTGAAGGTGCATTCGGTTACATAAACGTCTCATTAAATTCTATCATTTCGGTAATAACGTGCGCGCGATCTCACTTACTCTATCTCTCTCGCTCTCTCCCGTTCGATTCGCGAGCGCACGCGGAGGTCAACGCGGGTAATAGTGATATTGGAATATTTTTTTCACGATAAACAATATGGTTTATAGAATCGTTTTAAAAAACGACAATATTTATATATATGTATTCGATAGATAATACGCGAAGCGAGAGAATTACAATTGCTCGTAATCGGGGAAGATATCGCGCGGCCGGGTGTCACGTCGATGTCACTGTTAAACGACTTTATATCGCGAATTCTTTTATTTCCTCCGCGCGCTCGGTCGTTTCGGTTACTTAATTTTTCGACTAGATACGCGATATTAGCGACGAGGAGAAAGGTCATCGTAACCCACGACGTATAAACAGATTGTATCGCATTGCATATACATATTCCCGCAGCGCGCGTATCCTCACGAGAATCTCGCAATCAGATAAAGGAATCCGCGCGCGCGCACACACACACGCGTATCCGAATAGATAATCGCCGATAACATCAAGGAAAGTCTATGTAGTCATAATCGGGCCGGTGCCGCGACGCGATCAATCGGTCTCTCTTTTTTCTCTCTCGCGCGCGACCGCTGTCCGATGTCTCTGTCCTATCTACTAACAGCGTGACGTCGGCTCTTCGGTATCGCGATTATTGTGATCGATGTGCGTTATCCTAATCGACGGAAAACCTACGAGGAAAAGGGTAGAGGCTTTTGTTTGGTAGATTCGGTCGAAAGATCGCGGGCCAAACGGCGACGAACGATACCGGAGCGAAAGTGCAATCGTCGTGCCGCTCTCCCCCCCCCCGTCCTTCCTCATCGCTCCGCACGCTTTCCTCTACTCCTCTCTCTCACCCCCCCCTCCCCCCCCCCGAATCGCCTCGCGACATTTCTCTAACTGCTCGTCTCTCGAATTCCCTCCGCCGCCTTGTCGCGTCCTCCGCCCTCCCACCCTCATTGCCGCCACGTCACCGCCACCTCACCGATGCCTCTACACTGTTGCGCAGTTTTCGAGGTCACCTCAAGTTCATCATCGATAATAGCGCAGGCGAAAACAAGCAGCTAGACCTGGGCGTCCCCGATAAGTACGTACTACAGATAAAAAATTCCGTCGGATTTGGTTCGGAGAGCGAACTTTCGTTTGGCCTTGGCGGGCGCCGCGCGTCCATCCGAGAATACGTACCGTTAATACCGCCGCGCCGCGCCGCGCCGCGCGACAGGGGTTCCCTGATCCGGGCTCTCGCGCGGCACGCGGCGTCCCGCGAGACCTGCAGTCACGTGGAGCGAGAAGCCTCGCGAGGAGCGTCCCGCGAGGTTTAAAGGACGTTCCCATATAGGAAGGAACTCGCGCCAAGTTCCGCCTCGACGAGGCCGAATGGACCGGTGCGAACGGGGCGCGATTCTCTCTTTCTTAGATTACTCGTGTTCGTCGAGATCTCGAAAAGTAAAATATCGCGTCGCGAAGAACGCGCAATTTCGAGGATCTAAATGATCCTAATGGCTAAAAATTAATTGGGGTTTATATAGGGGAGAGAACGCGATGTATGAAATTTCCGAACGTTCCCGGAATTACCAAGTCATAAATCCGTCAATCAATCTTACACGCGCTTCTGTTACATATTTGAAACATTGGAGTATAAATGTTCGAGAGGGATTAAACGCGGGCGATAACTCAATTATTCGATAACGTGCGCATCGATCGAAAAATCATCGAACTCCCGTCGGAAAATGAAAATTGAATTTTTTTTTTTTTCGGCGTGCGATAACTTTTTTTCCAATCGCGCAATTCTGATTCGAGCGTATTAAACTGTCCGCGTGTCCGTGCGCCTCCCGTCAAACAGTTATCGGCATTAATTATGCATGACGTATGAACAATAGCGCGTCGCTTGTAAATCATTTGTGACCAAGCCGCATAGAATGCAACGTTATCATTTTCGATGTATGCTTTCCGCGCGACGGCACTCACGCGCGATCTCACTTCCGGGCGTGTTGTCGCGTTGAGGAAAAGAAAAGGAAAGGAAAAAAATAACGATCGGCCGCTCTCTTTATCGCACACGTGACGCACGTGTGTCACGCGTAGCGGGATGAACGAACAGGGAGATTTATAAGAGTGCAAAAAAAAAAAAATGAGAGCCACTGTGCATCGCAACTACCGAAACAGCAACGAAACGACGGTGGCTGACGGGTAAAAGGGGGGAGGGAGGAGATAGTACGGGGAGGGACGAGGTACATTAGAGAAAGAGAGCGCGAGTGAGACCGCGCGTTTGTGTGGCGTCGAATAAACAGACCCAGCGTGAACGAGAGAGAAAGAGAGAGAGAGACTCGTGTCATCCCGGCAGAAGCTGACAAAATTTCGCGTGCCATTTATTCGCGGCCTCGATAGATGGCGACATACCCGGGCCTCTACACAGCGGCTCGCCTCGCCGTGACTTTCGGGCGTTACGCAACCGAAATTCCTCCTCGTATCGGCAGTAGCCGAGTTTAAAAGGCGAACGCGTCGTACGAGCGATATCGCGAGAAAGGATAAAAAAAAGAAGGATTGGAGAGGGTAGAGAGGGGGAGGGGAGCGGAGG